ATGAATGCCTTAGAATTCTACGAATTTGCATGTCATCCTTGCACAGGGGCTATGCTCATCTTTTCTGTATCATTCCAATTTTAGTGTATGTGCTGCCGAAGCGAACATGTCTTTGAATTCTAAACTCTTACCCTTTTCATCGGTGTGTGGAGCCACCCTATTCAGACTTGAGTTTGCTGTGAGCAGGTCCAGGAAGCCAATCATTACCCTTTGACTCCTTTATCTAATGAAGATAAGCTATGAACAAATATCTCCTCAGAAGCTATGGGGTTCAGCCTCTGGCTCACTCTTAAGATAAATATTTCTTGGATATAAGCTTTGGTAAACATTTCTTTTCTTGATAAAATACCTTCAAAGACTGTATATTGCTTTTATCATAAACATTAGAATAAGACATATTGTGAAAGACAAACTGCAAAAACACAAACAAGTATACATTATAGTGTAGATATTTCCCCTTCTATTACCATGGTTATTTAATCTGATGGTGTAGCCCCCTTTCCTCTTGCAGTAAAGGAAAACTCATCTCACTATGGTAGGTTGTATTGTATTTGAACAAGACTTCATCTTTGTCCTCAGTTCTGGAAATTTTTATCATGCTACCATATAAATCCTTCGCAAACTGTTTCCTTAGAGCCTTTGATCATTTGTTGCATTGTTATAGATAATAAAATTGGGTATATAGGACACTTAATTTTTAATAAATTTTAAGGCAACAATAACCTATAAAACATGATGGTTCATCTCTAAGTTGAAAGCAATAATTGTACATGCATGTCTGTACTATGGGAAAAGGCTTCTGCCATCACATTGGGTTCCACAGTAATACACTTCGTAGTGTCAAGGCATTCACAGATTAGCTGTCAAAGATGAATGTAAACAGATTCTATCCATAAATTAAGCCTATAAGCATGCCAAATAACAAAAAGGTAAGAATTTCTTTTTTTAAATTTTTATTAATCTATTTATTTATTTATTTATTTATTTTGCGGAACCAGAGATTGAACTCAGGCCCTTGTGCTTGGCAGGCAAGCTTTTATTCTACCCAGCCATCTCCCTGGCCCCAAAAGGGTTAGAATTTCCTAGACCATATCTTCTATATCTCCTTAAGAAAGTGGAAATTTTGTGTTTTTCAATAAAGGAACAATTTGATAACTACATGTTGCAGGCATGCAACAAAACATACCAGCAATACACACAACTTCTGGAAATCAATTAAAAGCACAAAAATGGGGAGCTCTCCTTGGAAGGCTGGAAATATGTTAGATTTATTTACTTTAATACCTTAAAAGGCATATTTAATATCAGCAAATATTTACATACTATAGTCTATGCCCTAGAGTATGCAAACAGAAATGAAATTAATTTTGCTGGAAGAATTAACATGCCCAATTAATAAAAGCTCAGTAAGATATGGTCCTCAGCTAAAGTAGCAGCTTTTGTGATTTAAGAAAAATACATTATTGTCCATAGACCCTTATCTCCACTGTTCACTTCTGCTTTAAGAAAATGAGAATGTTAATACCATTTCCAAATTTCATAGCGTTCATTTGTTCTCAACATCCTTATGGAAGAAGCAGTGAGAAACACCTTTCTATTCATCTTGCGGTTCTTAAATTCTACATGGAGAATTTTGAAAACTTACTATAGTTCCACACTGCAAAATATCAACAAGAGAAATGGGGTCCATTTTATGAAGCTTCCCATTTGAGAGGATAGAAAGGACTCCAGAAAAAAAGAGTATGTGTGTTGTTGCAGGAAATGTCACAGAACAAATGATTCCAAAAGGAAACAGACTAAGAAATGCAAAAGGGAGATCTCTGTACAGCTCGCTGGCTGTTGTAAATATTTCAATAAGTTTTCATCTATTCAAATAATATGTTGGGGTTGGGGATGTGACACAGCAGTAGAACATTTGTTTAGTATGCATGAGGCCCTGGATTAAGCTCTAGAATTTCAAAACAAAGATGCTACATATCTTAAACATATGCAGTAAAAAGAAGTTAAAACACATACATGGGGATACAGAAGATTTCTAAAGTGCTCCTTTGAGCATCATGTTATTGCCATGAATAGATGCCACATATAAAATGAAATCTTAAGTGTATCACAAAAGAAAAGAAGTACTAAGTTGAAAAAAGAAACATAGCTCATGAATATAACTAATAGAGAAATATCTGGCATGCAAAATGAGGAAAGACAGTTCTGTTTATTTATCTACTTACTATTCATTCTGGGGCTCTTTGTAGAATTTGTTTCCTGTATATCAGCATGACCTGCAGAACTTCTATGGCTCCCAAATAGGAATTGTGCTTTGAGTCCTGAAGTCCCCATGGTCAGGAAGCACCGCTTCCTGATTCCGTGGGATGTAAATCTCTTTCTTTATAATGTGGCTGTTCTAGCCTAACTTAAGGATTTATGATGAGGGGAAACTTAAAAGAAAAGAGGAAAGAGAATTTTCAATGCATTTCTTCAATTTATCTCTTGACCACTGAGACTTTGGGACATTGTAGAATTTATACATTCCCTCATATGTCAGGCTCTACTTAGTAGAGGTGTGAGGAAATTGCAAACTTTACAAGGAACTTCAATATTTCTATAGTTCAAAATAGAAGCCCTTTTTTTTATTTATTTTTTCCATTTATGCATTTGGTATAGGGTCTCACTACGCAACTCAGACTCATAGTGATCCTCCTATTTTCAGCCTCCCCAGCACTGGGATTACAGACTTACACCACCACACCCTGACTGTACACCCAGGGTCAGGGACAGGGCTGGTGCAGCAAGAGGCCTTGGGGATCGAACCCTGGTCCCTACACTTACCTAATCAGGCACTTAGTTCACTAAGCTATCTCTCCAGCCCTAGAAACTCTTTTTTAGGTTCCATATTCTCTATAGTCAACCTGCTCCATTGACTGATTTCATGGAACTTATTTCTCTTCCTCACCTTATGGTTCTTATAGCCTCACATCATTAAGGCAAACTTGACAGTTTCTGTAATAGAGCCATCCTGCCAACACCCCTGTCCCCTTACATGCATGTTAATTTTCAGTTGAGAGAAAAGTAGAAAAAGAACTAAAAAGCAGGCAAAAGAGCCTGTTTACTTGTTTCTAAACCTTTAGCAAAACAGATTGGTACTTTCCTCCAAAATTAAGTCAGAATGTGTGATATCTATAATATTTGATACACAATAGTGCTCTGACTTCTCAAGGCATCCAATATTGGATGTCTACAACCACTATCCTGATGACTAATAGGAGAAAGTCTTGACCAACTCTTACCTAAATGCCCATGTTCTTAATTAACTAAGCATACAATGAGGTTGTTCATTAATTTGAAACAGAGGCTTGGTAAAGAACAGATGATGTTCTCAAACTGAGAAGTGGTGGGCCGTCTAACAATGGAATTACTTAAAGCATGTGGGTAGGATATCGGAAATCCACCCTTCAGTAGATGAAGCACTATGAGGCTTGCGAAAAGAAGGAAAGGCTAAGAAGCCTTTACCCAGGTTGGCCGGCTGGAGCAAGGCGGGAGGCAGTTATCAAGCAACAGAGGTTGCTTGATAGGCAGGGTCTCTACATGGCAGCTGTGGCCTTGGAGGAGCCACGAGGGGGACTGGGACAACGACATGCTGCCCTGCATGCTGGCCTTTCTTTCTTCTAGATGTCTATGACTGCTTGAGTCTAACTGAACCCGACCAGAAGCAGAGGGAACGGGACCCTGTAAGGGTCAGCACTGGGAACACTGTAGCAAGAGGGAATGAATGAAAAGACTTGGGAACCAAGCAGGTAAAAAGAAAATGTAGCATGCAGTGTTTCCCAAAGTGTGTGCCAAGGAACGCTGGTTCTATGTAATGAGCCACAAAAGATCCAAGCTGAAGTAAATGTGGGAAATGCCAAGGAATGCTATCACCATGTCTCTGCCTACTATGCCCAAGGTGGTATTTGAAGAAGTCAGGAAGGAGCATTGGAGAAGCTTAAAGAAATTTTCTGCCTGTGTGAGGTTCTACACAGATTACTGGAAGGGAAAATGATGGGCAAATAAACAAATTAGTAGGAGCTATGCTGAGTGAAATGAGTTACAAACACAATCACAAAATGATAATGTGAAAATATTAAAAAGAGCAAGTTAAAATTGACAGCAAAAGTCAATTAGAGAATATAAAATTTAATTTCACTTGATCCAGAATTCAATTGTTGTTTATTGTTGAAAGCTTGTAAATCTGATATCCTTAGATTTATCATAGAGCTGAGATGGAGTAATTTTGAGTTTCTTGGTGCATTTCTTTCATCTTCTTTGTAGCCTAGCAGATGTTATTTTCTGAGATTTCTTACTTTTCCTCAAAAACTGCTCAAATCCTATTCACGTTTTTGTTCTCAGTGCCTTAGCCTATGTTTTATTTTTTGTGAAGATTTCAAGAGAAGTCTTTCAACCTAAATAAAATCATATTATGATCATCATTGTAATTATGCAATGGAAAATACAGTAACAATGATGTTAACTCTGTCTCATGCTTAATGTGTACCAATATGGTTTGTTATAAACATTTACGTGGGTTTCCCAATCAGTCTTCAAGATAACCCAATAACTACCTTTGGGTTACTATTTTATTCTTATCTTTATAATAAGAAATAAAGGTACCTAGAGCTGTAATAATTTACCCACTAGCACCCAGGACAGAAATGGGTCACACAGGAACTCTAAACACAGATCAATACCTTGTAATAATTTAGACTATAATTTAAAGGATATTCAGAATGAATTTACTTAATTGAGGAACATCTAACTATGAAATCTTTTCTAAGCATCATCTTTCGCTGAAGAAAATTTCAGTTTAGGAAAGTGTGTATTATAAAAATATATGAGCTAAGAGTTCAGAATGATGGGAAATGAAGGAACATGTTTTAGAGCAAGACATGAACACAAAAAGCAATTGAAATTCAGAAGAGGAAAATGATATTCTGATGAAATAAATGTCTGTATAGTTCATAAGAGAAGGAAGGTATGGATGCTATACTCAGTAGAACTGAGAAGCGATGGTGGGATGAGTTACACTGGGGTAATTTCAGTTAAAGTAATGTTATTTTTATTATCTTATTCTATGAC